AGCCATTTCATTAGAATCTAGAAATGTTTGTTCTATTTTATTAGTGTTTGCTGATTAATGGAAATTCTGGCGAAAATTTTTGATATAAGTTCAAAATTAAAAAGTATTTTTTGTTTTATCAGTTTTTTACAATTTACTACGAGGAGCCATTAGAAAATAATAAGAAAATGCTTTTTTGTGTGGATATCTGCTGTAAGTGATTTTGTGGGCAGCTCGCGGTTGTGTCAGATCTGAAGGATCCAGCGCATGGAAGCATCCCACTAGCATCACTGACATGAGATAACTGCTGGCTGTCCAGCCGAAATATTCATCGTAATGCTTTTTTACTTAAAAGATAGCTCTTTTGTTTAGTACCCGCGCTTTGAGGTGTATCGTTCACGCCGCGATCGGCTAAAAAATTAGCTGAGCTCACTTACGAACACTTCGTTTAAAAATTTACATCAGAAGTGGTGTTGAAAACAATCGAAATTTTACAACGGAAAATTTTGTTTCATTTCACGCCACTTGCATTTTTGAAGGGTGAGCACAAGAAAGGGAAGCGAAAATAGAGGAAAAGAGTTGGAGGCAAGCAACTTCTGTTTCCTTTGCGAGCAAATGTCAAATTTTTGTTCTGTTTTTTCCACAAAATGAACAGCTGTGTAACATTCTAAGATGCTAAAAGAAAAAAGACCTTTAGGGAACATCCGAAGTGGTGACTCGCGCGCATTAGTACACCCAGCGAGTACCAGCTGAAGACATGCGGCTCAGTACAGAGGGCCTGGCACAGCTGCGCCCGGATCCCAGCAAAAATTTCCTCGGCAATCTTCCTCGTACTATTAGTAGAACAAAGATGAGGAGGTAAGAACAAAGATGGGGAGGCCTTTTATTCGAGGAGGTAATGTATATTAATAATTTTCACTGAAATTATCTTTACTTACTATGTGAAAGTCATCTCTTGGAGGATTTCCAAAAAGTTTTCAAAGTCGTTTTAAGTTTTTCGATTTTTTTGTTAAAAGTATTACCTGGCTCGACCTACAGCAGAGGAGCATTGAGAAATAGCAGTGAGGTCAAGGGTTCAATATTAGAAGAAGAAAGGTATCGGCAGCCTTCGCTAGCGTTTTGTTTCCTACTGGAATTTGCTACCATTCGGCTACTTTCCAAGTGCCTGTACCTCTTAAAGAGAGCAGATACGGAGAGGGTTTATTTTGACTACATTCCATTCAAGCTGCAGTGGAAAAATTTTTGTTGGGCAACTATTTCTTTTCAGATAATTCGTAGTAAAGAATTCTCTTATCAAATCAAAGCAAATATGATGAAGCAGCAAAATATGCATTTTTAAAAATTTGTTTTCTCATGTGGCCATTAGGAGCGAAGGCTTGTATTAGATTAGCCGATTTCTGGCATTTGCATTGGCTATTTTGCGACCAGTAAATCAAAGCTTCTAAATTCAAGAGGCGTCCATGGCTATAGTCGGCTTAAACAGGATGACGACGCATCCCCCATATTCCACTTTTTCACCAGAAGTGCTGTCGTTCATAATTTCGCTACGGCCTGAACTTTTCTCAATTATTTCAAAAAAGGAAGATTTCGGAAACTCCCCTTTTTGTCTTTCATCACAATTTCGAACTTTCCGGTTGACTTTGCTACGTTGGTTAAATTTTATACCTGTTTCTAGTTAAAATCCTTGCATGAAAATTTTGCATCTTTACCTTATGCTGGTAAATTTGAATTTAGAACTTGGCATCAGCATTCTTCGCTTCTGTCTTAACGATTTTGACTTCGCTAAACGGAATAGTTTTTAGCGAT